TTTACAAGTTATCAGGACATAACATGATAGCCCTGAAGTATTTAGAACATCCCATGAGTTCACTTTCTAAGAGCACAGTAATCATGTCTTATAACAGTAACAATAACATCTACAATTTCTTGAGCATGTGCCACATGCCAGGCACTGTAAGTTCTTTACCTGGATTAATTCAGGCAGTCCTTTCAACAACCCTAGGAAGTAATGGTAAATATTATTTGCATTTTAAGATGAGATGATCAGAGCATAAAGAGGCTATTAATTTGTCTAAGATCACATAGCTAATAACTGGACCTGGAACTCAAAACCAGGCGATCTGACTCCAAAGTCCATGCTCATTTTGTGTCTCAAAAAAATCAGGTTGCCTTCTCATTGCCAAATTAAACCCCGCTTTTCCATGAGACAGAAATCTGAAGAGGCCTCGTGGGGCTTTGTGTAGTGTATTTTTGAATACTTGGTACTTAAAAAATACTCAGTGCTAAATCTAATCTATCCTATCCATAGAAATACACAAACAACTTGCATTTTCTAGGGTAGAAAAATGAAAATCCTTCTCAATAACTCCCTCCATCCTTTTTTACTCTTCTCTTTGTGAACATTTTGCTCCTAAAATAATTCATGACTATGGCTTTATCAAGAATGGCATTTCTTTTTTTTTTTTTTAAGATTTTATTTATTTTTCGACAGAAAGAGAGACAGCAAGAGAGGGAACACAAGCAGGGGGAGTGGGAGAAGCAGACTTCCCACCAAGCAGGGAGCCCGACGTGGGACTAGATCCCAGGACCCTGGGATCATGACCTGAGCTGAAGGCAGATGCTTAATGACTGAGCCACCCAGGCGCCCCAAGAATGGCATTTCTTAAGAAGTTTTCCCTTGTACTAACACTCATTTTCTTTTTATTTTTTGAACAAACTTTCAGGTTTTAACCTACCCTGTCAGTGTGACTGAGATAAGACCTTGTCTCTCTATTCCCTTTTCTGGGGACATGGCCTTGAATTCTGTTTAAAGAGGGTCCTGCTCCATCTTTCCCCATACTGAATCTTCCAAACCTTCCTTGGCCTTCCCCACACTGACCTCTCATGAATGTACTCTATGTAACCTTTCCTAACAGGTGTCTTTTGAGAAGTCCACACCATCGGCCAATTTTCCACTTACGGTTAGTCTCAACTTTCATGCTTTGGGTCTCCCAACCACATTCTATAATGTCAGGTCTAGTCAGGGTTTCCAACTCCTAACTCTTCAGAAAGAAAATCAAACCAAAAATCATTCACATTCTAGTCTTCCTTTAATGGGTTCTGTATATTACCTGATGTGTCAAGGGTTCCCAAGACCACCCCCAGGTTTAGGGCTTCACTAGAAGGACTCAGGACTCAGCATATAATCATACTCTTGGCTATTATTTGTTACAGCAAAAACGATACAAAGCAAAAGCAGCCAAGGTAAAAGGTACATGGGGCAAAATCCACAGAAAACCATCGTGTAAGCTTCAAAGAATCCTCTCTCAATGGAGTCACATGGGACACACTTAATTCCCTGGCAATGAGTTCTGATATGTAAAATGTTGTCTGCCAGAGAAGCTCATTAGAGACTCAGTGCCCAAAGTTTTTTGACTTTTATTTTTTTTTAAAGCTTGCTACTCTTGTTTTTCTTTTTGAAGACTTTATTTATTTATTTGTCAGAGAGAGAGAGAGAGAGAGCACCAACAGGGGGAGCGGCAGGCAGAGGAAGAAGCAGACTCCCTGCTGAGCAAGGAGCCCAATGTGGGACTCCATCCCAGCACCCTGGGATCATGACCTGAGCTGAAGGCAGCCGCTTAACTGACTGAGCCACCCAGGCGTCCCCAAATTGTTTTTGTTTTTGCTTTTAATATTTTATTTATTTGAGAGAGAATACGTATGAGGCAAGGGGTGCAGAGGGAGAGGTAGAAGCAGACTCCCTGCTGAGCAGAGAGCCCAAGATGATGTGGGGCTTTGATCCCAGGACTTGAGCGGAAGGCAGATGCTTAACGAACTGAGCCACCCAAGCACCCCTCAGTACCCAAAGTTTTTATTGGGGGCTGGTCACACGGGCACCCTCTGCCTAGCACAAAATTCCAGACTCCAGAAGGAAAGCAGGTGTTTGGTATTAATTGCATCATTGGTACAAAGCAGTTTAAGTACAGTGAGCCATTCTTATTAGTCAGGGTGGTGGGAAACCTTCCCAAATCCAAGTTCCCAGACACTAGCCAAGGGCTAACCTTGTAAGGAGACCTTTCAAAGGATAGCATTTGATTTGCCAAGGTAACTCTTTTTTTTTTTTTTTTTTGAATACTTGAGGAAGTACAAGTAAAGGAGACCTCGTAGAATAGGTCTAAGGCAAAGTCCTTGAGGGAGAGCCAAGAGTCTGAATCTGGAGCTCCCAGACATATTGTCAAGCCCAAAGTGAATGAGAATGAAAACCCAAATGGGAAAGCAAAGCAGGAATCTGACTGAATTAAAGCCCACTGAGGGTTTTGATCAGAGGTAATTGATCCCAAATGCTGCTGTGTGCCTTGGGTACCGCACGTGGTGCGCAGCTGAATCAACTGCTTAAAACGAAAGAGTCAAGCCTGGCAAATGCTCTCCAGATTATCCCCACAACATGACAAGGACACATCAAGGAAGAAAGCCTGAGACTGCGCATTGAGGTGAGTTTTGGTGGTGAAAGCCAGCGCCATGCCAGGCTTCTGGGCCTCGCCTTTTCCACTGTCCCAACCTCTTTGGTACCCGCCAGAGTCTAATGTCTCTACGGCGTCTGACACATATCTGAGCAACCTTTCAGACGGTCAGAGGCTGACTTCTGTGGACAGTATTCCCACAACATATAGCCAACTGTTCCTACAACTGTCCACGCTTGGCAGCGCTCTGGAGAAACTCTGACAGTAGTGTGATCTGGGAGAAAGGAAGTCCTCCCGTGCAACTCTAGCCAGTTGTATGTCCCAGGAGACAAAGCTTGGATCCAGGCCTTTCTGCTGTGCCAGGATGCAAACTGAGAAGGCCACTGGGACCCTTTCAAGAGAACTAATTTGACTCATTAGGGGACCTAATAGTCCCATATGCAACATAACTTGTTTCATTAGTCAGACAAATAAAGGATACTCTTGGCCAAAAGATAAGTCAGTGATTCTCAAGGAGCTCTTACGCCTTTTCCTGTCTCCTAAGCCTGCTAGGGGGTAGTGTCATACAATTTAATCATAAACCACCTTTTTTTTTTCCCTCTGGGCCTATTTCAGGCATGATGGGGCTACTGATAAAGATAATTTATGTGTCATCTGTTCCTGCTCACACTTTGCACTGAACACTCAACCATGCACCTGAAAGATGCACCTGCAACCACGTACCTGCAAAATGTGGTGGAATAGTACAAACCATCAAATGGTTTCCTTTCCTACAGCAGGGCCCCATACTTGTAAGCCCATATTTGTAAGGCATTTTAAATCCAGGTCCAAGTCTGTTTCCCCTCACCCCTAAACTCATGGCCAAGAATCTATGAACCAAGTGCTAGAATATTTCAGATTCAGGCCATCCTCTTAATAGGGCAGTTCCCCTTAGTAGAACAAACTTCACATTATGGAATTTTTCTCTGAATCCATTCAGCCAGCACTTAAAATACCCATAACAATTATGGGTTTCACTCCAAGTAATTCTCCATTATTCACTTCAGTCACCATTCCAGCAAACTACCTAGAAGAATTCCATGGAGCCCAGAAGAAAAGTCAGGCTTTTTGGGATCTAAATGATTAGAATCTGAAGTCTGAAATATAGTCAAACAATAGTTGTCTTGGGATGCCTGGGTGGCTCAGTCATTAAGCGTCTGCCTTTGGCTCAGGTCATGATCCCGGGGTCCTGGGATCGAGCCCCACATGGGGTTCCCTGTTCAGCAGGGAAATTCAGACCGTTCCGCCTGTTTGTGCTCTCTCTCTCTGTCAAATAAACAATAAAATCTTTAAAAACAACAACAACAATAATTGTCTTGTACGTGACACACATGAAACTTTCAGCTTTATTTGCGTTATACAGGCCTTCAGGAATATCATCTCTTGCTGGGCATACTATGAAAAACAGATAAGCCAAAAGTTTTAGAATTGCTGTTCTTTCCCTTGAGAATACCAATATTTACTCTAAATTGGCCTAGATTTAGAACAGACAGAATGTCCATAGTAATTTTAATTTGATCCTGTTATTAGCAAGGAAATACTCTGTTGCTTATTTGTCAGGCTTTTTGTGGGCTTCTTTCTATAATTTTTACATTGTTTCTTTGTAGCAAATCACTAGTGAGAGAAAGTTAAATCTAATGAATTAATTCTACTTTGGAGTTTGTAAATTATTGTACATTAACCACAATGACGTTTATTCTACAGTCTCTCCAAGCCTGATACTCTTAAGGGATATAGTACTATTCCCCCAGTGGTTATATCCTAAGTTATAGGATGATCTAACAAATGACCAATTCTGTATCAAATGAGAGGGCTTCCTGTAAGTCATATCTCTTCAAAAGACATATCATGATCATTATTGTCAGGCTTTATTCTGTTTGTTGCTGCAGAAGAGAAATTAATTGGTTTTCTTTGACAATAATTTGATGTAAACTGGGATGATTTTGTTCAGGCAACAGTGAAAAAACTTTCATAACAGCACTGAGGAAGATTAGGGTGGGAATAATGGTTATTGTTGGTTGATACCCATATCCATCTCCACTTCCTGGCTATATCTTAATTGAGGTAACCAGTATGACTCTTCACGTGTGTGCCGGGAGAAACTGTCACACCCAGTTCCAGAGCAAGGCTATTTTGAACAAAGGGTAATGCCATCACTCTCATTAGGGTGACTGGTGCTGGAACCCAGACCTAAGCTGATCTGCAGGTGGCAATTCCTCTGGTCCCAGGGACTGGTTCAGGAGCAACACATAGGTTTTTTTTGAGGGTTTTTTTTTTTTCTCTCTTATAAATATGCATTAGAACATCTGATAACACGGGCAAAGGGCTTTGAGATTAATTTAAAATTAAACCAAGACTGGATTTCCTGCACTCCTGGCAGGAAATTTATCTAAAACATCTGAATACCCAAATGTCCTTGAGAGTGGTGGCGGCCACGGGCACCCCAGGCCCCACAGCCGCCTCAGTCCCGGGGCACCTTGAAATGGTCCTTCTCTTTGCAGATGGCCCTCATGGTGGTCACGGGGTCAGTCTCGCCAGCATGCTGCTGTACGGTCTTCTCCCTCACTCTCATGAACGGGTTGTAGGTGAACTCCTCCTTGATGGTGGATGGCACCGTGGGCTCCCCGATACTGTACTTCTCCTTGGCCCAGGCCAGCTTCTCCTGGATGGCAGCGTTGTTGGGCTCTACGTGCCGCGCGAACTTGAGGTTGTTGATGGTATACTCATGGCCACAGTACACTCTTGTGTCTGGAGGGAGCCGGCCCAGGATCTCAAGTAGGGTTTTGTGCATCTCATCCGCTGTCCCTTCGTAGAACTTCCCACAGCCAGCCACGAACAAGGTGTCACCTGTGAACACAGCAGGAGGCTCAGAGCTGCTGGGCTTGCTCACAAAGTAGCAGGTGTGTCCAGAAGTGTGGCACGGTGTGGACAGGCACTTGACGTTGAGAGACCCCACCTGCAGTGTGGAGAGGTGCGTGACCTTGTGAGTCAGGGCCCCGATCCGGTCATCACCCCCGCACACCTTCAGCCCAGGCTCCAGCTTGACCAGCTTCTCGTTCCCGCCAGCGTGGTTAAATCTTTAAAAAAATAAAATAGGGGTGCCTGGGTGGCTCAAATGGTTAAGCATCTGCCTTCGGCTCAGGTCATGATCCCAGGGTCCTGAGATCGAGCCCTGCATTTTGCTCCCTGCTCAGTGAGGAGCCTGCTTCTCTCTCTCCCTCTGCTACTCCCTCTGCTTGTGCTCTCTCGCTCTCTGTCAAATAAATAAGTAAAATCTTTTTAAAAAATAAAAGATGCATACACTTTTTTTGGGACATGGAAAAATATTTAATGTCTGTAGGTTTGCCTAATCCTCCCATTCCTGTTTTGATTTGACAGCCTCCCCAAAACTGGCAGTACCAGAGAAAATATGGGCACTTTTTCTCAGCAGGATTTAAAAACCATTAAGGCCCTAGTTTTCTCCACTTGGAAATGATTTCATGTGAGATCATTCAACAGCATACCTCAGGCCTCTCTGCTCAGGGAAAAAAGCTTCCCAGTTCTACAGGACCCTTAGGTCTTCTCTTCTTCTGCAGCCTAGTGCTGGGAACTGTGCAGGTGGAAATTGTAGTAGTCTTGGGCACTGCACAGGTAGCCCCAAAAAACAGTGGGGAGCATCATGAAGGCAGAGAACTTCTTGTAGCCAATGTCAGCTTGTTGCTTGGCAGTTGGCAACTGCCTCTAGGACTTAGCTCCCTATGTGAAAGAGGGTACAGCACGCCCAGCACAGCACAAATCCACTCACTGAGCCAGATGCATACATTTTTTACATCATAGTCAAATAGATTGTTTTTCCTTATGTTATTCCAACTGCTCAAAATTATACTGCATTTTCGATTGATCAATATTTGGACAGCAGCTTTATTTGAGTTTTGTTTGATTTTCTGGAGCTTCTAATTCTTTTCTTTCTTTATTTTTTTCCTTTGAGAAATGGAACATGCCTGCTTCACCACATCCAAATATCTTCTTTATTTATTTATTATAAAACTTATTTATTCTATGTGTAGTATAGAATTTATTTATTTATTTATTTGTTTGTTTGTTTATAGTTTCCATTGAATACTTGCTCTAATTTGGAAAGGCTTATTTCTGGGGTCGCCTGAGTGGCTCAGTTAGTTAAGCAACTGCCTTCAGCTTAGGTCATGGTCCCAAGGTCCTGGGATTGAGCCCCACATCAGGCTCCCGGCTCAGCAGGGACTCTGCTTCTCCCTCTGACCCTCCCCTCTCTCGTGTGCTCTCTCTCTCTCAAATAAATAATAAATAAAATTTTTTTTAAAAAAAAGAAAGAAAAGCTTATTTTTAGACCTGCAGCATTAGCAATCATTTGGGATTTCTGTTGATTGAAGACTGGGTTAGTCCCATGTTTTCTGTATTCCAGGTCATTTTCTCTCTGATTTCCCTCCTTGTTTTTTCTCAAATACGACAAATAACTTCCCACGAAAGGGAACTCTGAGTCTTTGAATATCTTTATCTTATTCTATTGCTTACTTGACAGTTTGACTCCAAGTTTCCAACTCCAGAATATCTCTGAAGTTCTACTTGGGCAGACTTATTCCTACTGCCACTCATTGTATCTGCATTGTGGCTTCCTTCCTTCTGTTTAATCCATCACATAATTTCATCTCTTTCCTGACTTCCATAAATTAAAAAAACAAAAATCAAAAAAATCTTTCATCTGTTGGTGATTCTCATCTTATTCTCTTCAGTCTTATGATTTTATTTCCTTTTTTGATTTTTATTCCTTTACTATCATGTTAATTGCATCCAGACCAAAGAGTGCAGTTTGACATTCAAATGGGAAGCCTTTCCCTAATTCTTCTGATTTGGATTTAAAAAAAAAAGAATTCACCTGTCTGCTTCTTTTCTTTTCTTTTCTTTTTTTTTTTTAACTATTTACATATTTTAGACAGAGAGAGAACACAAGCAGGAGGGGCAGAGGGAGAGAAAATCTCAAGCAGACTCCATGCTGAGCATGGAGCCCGATGTGGGGCTAGATCTCATGACCCTGAGATCACGACCTGAGCTGAAACCAAGAGTCAAATACTTAACTGACTGTGCCACCCAGGAGCCCCTCACCTGTGTACTTTTAGCTCATTGTGAGATCTAACCACTTATGTAGTTATGTAAAGTTGAACTATATCAGTGGGATGTCTTCTTTCAGAAATATTAGGCACTTAGCATTTCAGGATGGTTTTAAAGTATTACCATAGACGTCACAGGAATTTACTTGTCTATTTACTATCAAAACATTTAAGGAAATAACTGAATGGGTATTCCTATTAAGCATTGGTAACAGCCTGAACTTTTTATAGCATTGATAGAGTATGACTTGGGATGAAATCATATTAGTCCGGAACTCAGTGGGTGAGTGGAATGAAATTACTTAAATTATTTATATTTTGTTATTATAAGTAATCCATTATAAACATAAAACTTAAAAGCAGTGGTGTGCTAGTAAATATTTAACAGCCAGCTCTTTAGGGAAAAAAGTATGTATAAATATATGTTTATTATAAATTTGTATAATATGAAGGATGTGTGGTGTACAATTTACAAATAATGAGAAAATGGTAAATTACAGAAACTTGTACCTTCCATATAGCTAATGGATTCTTAGAGCATGCTTGTATTGATTTTTACTAAATTTTTGTATCTCTAGCCAACATATGGTTGCAATTGGACTATGATTTGACAAATGGAGTTGCCTCTCAATCTGCTCTTTTCCTAATAATTCTATGGTCACTAATTCTGACCTATGTAGTCAATTTTTCATGACAGCTTTGCTTAATAACTAACTTGCAAAATTACTGAAAAAATTTTTTTAAATTTTTTTTTTAATTTATTTATTCATGAGAGAGAGAGAGAGGCAGAGGGAGAAGCAGGCTCCCAAGAAGCAGGGAGCCCGATGTGGGGCTCGATCCCAGGACCCTGGGATCATGACCTGAGCCGAAGGCAGCCGCTTAACCATCTGAGCCACCCAGGTGCCCCCAAAATTACTGAAAATTTAACAGTCAGCTCTCGCAAACTGGTACAAGCCAACTCTAGTAGCCCACTATCTATAACTTCCAGTTCTCTGACCTAGGTATCAAAATGAGGACCCATCTACCTTTGTTATCCAAATAATACTTCTCTGAGGTCATGAAAATATCTTTCTTCTCTGTAATCCCTGCTCTGTAACCATTCCCCATCTCCTACCGTAAGAAATCCATACCTCAGGAACTTGGTGGTTAGCCCTACTTAGTGATCTCCAGAAGAGAAAACTAGAAATTCAGCGGGTCCATCAAGGTGGTATATTGGGCTAGGGCTAGGCTGTTGCTGATGTCACAGCCACATGGTGGCACTATTGAAACACAGGTATCACAGCTGCCTCAGTACCCTCCACACACCAATCCCATCCCCCAGCTTGCTCCGAACCTTGCAGAACTTGACGGTGAACCAGCCTACATCTCTTCTAAAAACCTAGCAACCCTCTCCCCTTGCATACACAGTTCCTTTCAGCACAGGAAATTCCATCAATGCAAACAAGCCCATTGGCATGCGGCTTGCCTAAAAGTGATGTCACCGGCCTTTCCTGTTCCATCTGTCCCAGCAACTTCACTTGTTGACCACTGGTTTTTAGACCTTGTCATTTATATGTTACTGGGAGCCTCACTATCTCAGATTTACCTGTGATGTAAGTAAATATTTGAATACCAGTCCAGGGCTTGGGGAAGCTCAAGCCCTTTTAATAATTTATGTGTCCTTACTTGCCTCTTTCTATCTTTCCCTGTCCACTCTACCCATGTGGCCTGCCAGATTTTGGTCTCTGTTAGATCCCAGTGGAAAAACTCCATTCTTTATCACCTTCCATAAGAAATTCAACAAAACTCAACACTTTTGTATTTGGGCAACTTCATCGAAGTGGTCCCAATTTCATATAAATATCCCAGGGAAGGACTCTAATTGGCCCAGCGTGGGCATGTGCCTACCATGGGCCAGTGTATGGTCAGGAGGATGAGATAGTATAACTGCTAGACTTATACCACAGGCCAACTTCTATGATGGGGGAGCAAAAGTGGCAGCCCAGAACCACGTGGAGTGAGGGAAGTATGATATGGTAAACAAAGGAAGAAGAAAAAGCATTAAATTTCCTTACTACCTACAGCCCATTGACAAGTCCTGGAAACAGGCAGAGTGACCTTCCTCTAGGGACTCAGCTGCCTTGATGTTAATACTTTGCTAAGGGCAAAACACAATCTTAGCCTGACCCTCCAGGATCCTGTAAGTCTACTTTAACATATAAAAATTCCTTTGGAAACTTCCTTTATCTCTACCCCCCCTCCCCCAAGATACGTGTTGGCAATCATCCCCCAAGCATATGACCTACTGATACACATCTGAAGGCTCTCATGACTCAGGTTTTATTAGACAGTCATAAATGACCTTTTCCTAACAATAGGTAGCCCCCTCAAGGTCCTGGAAACCTTGCTTCCAAAATTCCTTAGAGACTTATGCTATCCCTACCCCCCTCCCAACCTGAAAATATATAATGGGCCACTCCTCATGACCCCAGTGCCGCTCTTTCTGCCCATGGGTCCTGTCCTTTAATAAAACCACCTTTTCGCACCAAAGAGTCTCAAGAATTCTTTCTTGGCCGTTAGCTTCGAATCCTAACATCTTTTCTACATCAAGTAGAATACTCCAGGGGAAATGGGGAAATGGTACCTGAAGATGAAAGACAGAGTGCTGAAAAAACAAAAACAACAAACACCTGCTTCTGGTGGAGATCTGGCCCTTCCTGCCCTTCCTCAGGGCTAGCTCTTTTTGGATGTTTTTACCATTCCTGGAGAAGAACAGGGAAAATAATGCTTTGTGGGAAAGAATTTTAAAATGAACACATATTTAACATAAAGTAATGCCAAAGAATGTCCTTTGAAGTATTCCTTTGACATAGTTGCTTTTCTATTATGAAGGTTAGATTTTTGTACAATTGGTATTCGCAAAGTGGAGCACAATTTTTGCATGCTTTCAACCCCTCTGACATGCGGTATTACTTTAC